AGGTTAGATGTCCCTGAAAGGAAGCCCAGTTAGTGTAAACACTGTTCTGTAGACTGCACCAGTGTGCAGTAAATGAGGACAGTCAAGATTTGCATTGCCTCAAAACACAACACTAATATAGATGCAGTTGTAGCCTGGATTTTGTGGCAGAACATTCAGTTCTTCTTGGCATCTAGAATGGAGCTGAAACAGACCAAGCCTCTGCACTGGGACCTGGGAGATGAAGATGAGAAGGATTTCTGGACATGGGTTTGAAAATTAATCTGTGTGTAGATGTGATAATCCAGTGCCTTTGCACAGCCCTAGGCATTTAATGAGATCGTACACCATCCAAATTTTCGCTCTGTAGAGTAACACTGGTGGAGGAACTTCCTGGGCTTCCGAGCCAGTCGTCCCCCGGCCCTGTTCTATCCTGGAAGAACAAGGGCAGTGACCCCTGGAAGGGGGCCAGTGCTTCACTGCAGAGTTTTGGGATTCGATATGGAATTTTTGGGGCTGTTTGTTTGGTTGCTTTTGTTGTTATTGTTGTTTTTTTGCTTTGGGGTTGTTTTTCTTTTACTAAACAGTTGCCATTAGGTAAAGATTCCATTTCAAAGATCTTCGACTGCTCCTAGGAGAAGGTCACAGGTGTTTAATGGCCTACAGCTGGCCTACAGTCTAAACAAGTGGCTTTGAGTTTAAGAAGGGCTATTATAGTTGTTATTAAGAAGACAAAAGTCCTTAATTACAAATTCTCTTTCTTAGATACCCTGAAAAAGTCTTATTATAAACAAAACTCACTTTGGCTGTTTTTCAAGTATTCATCTATCATTCTTTACACATTATACTTTGTTCCAACAAAATGTAACTGGCCCCCAAAAAATTATAAGCAAATAAGAGGAGTATTTGCCTCACAAACAAAATAAAACCTGTTTTATGTATCTAGACCAACTATTAAAATTTAATGCATTATACTTTTTAGCTGAGGAATGCCATAGGTAAATTGCAATATGTTCATGGTCTCGGCCTTGTAAGAGACATCAGAACTATCCAGTAGAAAACTATGTATAATTACAAAAAGCAATAGAAAGAGACAACCATTGTAATGTCAGTAATGATTAGTAAGTTGTTCTTATTTTATGTAATTGAATTTTCTTGATTTCCAGATTATTTTTTTAAGCTTTAATCTTCAAGTACTAGTAAAATCCTTCCTTGGATCATATTCCCAGTGATTCCACTGAAACCAATCAGACACACATATTCTTATTTAACTTTGAAAAATTCTGAAGGCTAGTTCCACACTGAATTAGCACTCATTAAGAAGTATTTTAAAAATACATTGATTTTTGATCCATGCTGCTGTTTAGAAAGTCTGTATTTTACCAACTTACACAGCAAAAGTTAAAAATGGTTTTTAACAATATTGTAGTTTAAATAAGATTTGTTGAATGTTAATGCTACCTCTTGAAGCCTTTGGAGTTGTTTTATATGAATCTACACACTTGCCCTAATGTTTACTATGTAATAATTCTGTTTTCTTCTGTAGCATGGATCTGCCCCATTAAACTAAAGTCATGAGACCTCATTCACTCTGTTAGAAATGCAGCAAATAATTTGTGTACAAGTATTAAGTGGAGACAGGAGAACACAGGGAAGTCCTAAAGCCAGAAACTAAAGTTGCTTCAAAATTGTGATCTTATAGCGACTTGATTTGCTCACATACAGTGCTTTATAAAATGTTTTTCATAGAGATCCTGGTGATTTTCCTGTGGAAATTAATGGCAACATATGTGTTGATTTACAGAATTTCAGTATTAGATCTAAGTACTAAGGTAATTATAACAAAGACATGTAGGCCTAAATTAAAACAAAGAAAATTCTAATCTGTTGATTGATACACTGTGGCAAGCGTTAAACCAGCTCTCTTATTAATGGCTGTCAGCTAATAAACACTACTTTAATTAGTTTAATCAAGTACCTTATTCAGAGTGGTGATAGCTGAAATTGTAAAGTGCTGTGCAAGGTGAGTATGCCAGAGCTCTCCTAGACACCCAGAGCGAGTGAGGTCTGGCTGAGAAAATCTCAGAAGTATAAGGTATATTGTTATTTATTTATTTCTTACACCTCCCTCCCCATCCTTTCCGAGTTAAACATTACACAACTTACTTTTGAACTTGTCCATTAACTTATTAATAGAAAAAGTATCCTACATCTGTATATAGACTGGTCTTTTTGAAGAGGCAGACGTGCTTCATGTACTGCGAGTGCTAAGGAACGATCAGCTTTTGTACTCGCTACAATGGAAGCACAAAGCAGTGTGCAGTATGTAGGTAGGGCAGATGTTTGCAGGAGGGCTACAGGAGAGATGTGAGTGCATGTGCTGCACATGCTGGCCTAATGGTGCAGGAAACAAGGAAGGAGGGTTAATCTGCACTTAAAACAATGTGACAGAGACAAAAGAGAACAATGGTTGGTATCACCAGCATAGGATGAATTTCAGAAGCTTTTATCTTTGATGAAATGTTGCTTTAATTGTTTCTCTTTGCAATGTGTCTCATTTCTGCTGGCTGTTTGTGTGGAGAAGTAGCAATGTTCAGCGCTTAATGCATTGGATGGAGATCTGGGATTTATCTGTCTCTGATTCCCTGTGTGACCTCCAGCTAATCGTTTCCTCTCCCTGTCTCAGTTTCCTTATCTGTAAAGTGGAGTTAATAATCCTTTCTATCTCCCAGTGTGTAGTGAAGTTAGACAATTCAATTAATAGTTGTAAAACTAATTTAGCTTCTGGGGCAGAAAGTGATAAAAAACTGTAAGAAATTATTCATAAATGTAGTAAGACATCACTGTCCAAATATGAGGAACAAATGTTCAGCTTCATATTTTTCTCAACTTCTGCTAACTTACTTGCAAAACCATTTCTCTTTCTCTTTACTCAACATATTTTTCTTAATGTAAGTGAAATCCTTTCATATGGAATATTATATTAGCTAACTGCTAATATCAAACAAAATTAAAGGCGTAGGCCATATTCTCCCTCAGTAAAACACTACCAATTGTAAGTTTGAAGTGGAGACCCACTGAGCTATTGGGTGGATTTGGCTTAGTCTTTGATGTGGTTTTTGGGGTTTTTTTAACCAAATAAAATATTATCAGACCATGGACTGCAAACAGTGTTTCACACTGGTAGTAATTTAATATATTTTTATTTCCCATTGTAATAAACATAAATCCTGAAGACTATCAGAGATATTAATGTAGTTGAAAGATTTCAGTTTACTAGCTAGTACAGGCTTCTGTAGAAGTAGACAAACATCCATTGTGTCTTTAAATTGTTGCTTCTTGACATGCAATTTTGTGTATGGGAGGAAGGCTAAAAGAGTGTATGGTATTCTGTTAGCTACATGGCTTTGATATGCAGGTTGCAATAAGGAGTAATATGGGGTATACTTGTGGAAACAGACCTTGTTGAAATTATAAGGCTTTACAGAAAGATTTATTGAGATATTGCAGGGCTGTGAGACATGGAAACATAGAATCATGGAGTATGCTGAGTTAGAAAGGACCCATCAGGATCATCAAGTCCAACTCTTGGCCCTCCACAGGACACCCCAAAAATCACACCATGTGCCTGAGAGTATTGTACAAACACTTCTTGAACTCAGACAGGCTTGGTGCTGTGACCACTTCCCTGAGGAGCCTGTTCCAGTATCCAACCACCCCCTGCATGAAAAACTTTTTCCTGATACCCAACCTAAACCTCCCCTGACTCAGCTTCATGTCATTTCCTCGAGTCTGTCACTGGTCACAAGAGTGAAGAAATCAGCACCTGCCCCTCCTCTTCTCCTCCTGATGAAGTTGTAGACTGCAATGAGGTCTGCCCTCAGTCTCCTTTCCTCCAGGCTGAATAAACCAAGTGACCTCAGCCACTCCTCATGAGGCTTCCCCTCCAGACCCTTCACCATCCTCATGGCCCTCCTTTGGACACTCTCTAACAGCTTAATGTCATTTTTATATTGTGGTGCCTCAAACTGCACATGCTAGAAAAAAACCTTCAAAAAGCCGGGAGAATAGAGTTGCAAAATTTGTGTTCAAAACCATTATTGAAACTCACACACACACACACATCCCTGTCCTGAAAATGTATCAGTTTTTAGCTGTGATATTTTTTCCAGATTAATATATTATGCTGCTTCATGACATCAGCATAAACACCAGCTTTCCCTTTCTGTGTCTACGTTTCTCATAAATGGCCTGTGCTGGCAGTACACAAATAGTCTCCTGATGCAGATGAGGGTTGCTGGATCTGCTGAAGTTCCTTGATGTCAAGACTAATTTCTTATTAGCCCCAGCCTCAGCAAATGGTACTTTGTAGGAATACAGAGTTAGGTGTAGCCTCTCATCCATGAAATACCAACTGAAGTGGCCAGGATGCAAAACTGCTATGACCAGATCTAAGACTCGAGTGTGCCTCTCACTTCACAAGCTAAAAGATGGGCTTGGGGCAAGAGCCTTAAGTCCCCACCGAAAGGGACTTGCATCACTCCCGAGCTTTGAGTGACTAGGGCAAAAGAGCAGAGATCACAGGGAGGGGCAGGAGAAAGTCCAGCTTACTGTGTTAAGAGAAGGAAGCAGGGTAATATGCCCTCCTAGTAAGGTGGTACAATGTTGATTTTGTCTATAGCAAACGGGTAAACAGCATTTCAAATACCTAATTCATTGTGTTGTGCCCTATAGGTCGGCAGATGACTGTGAGGCAGGGCAGAGAGCAGCACATTTGTCAGGGTCAGCTGATACTTTCCATTATAGATTTTTGTCCCTCAGTTACTTGTAGCTTTGCACATCCCCAGCAATTTGAGCTAAAAATGTCCATCTTACATAGAAAAAAATATTCAGGCAACCAATTTTTCCTTCTTGTAAGATTTGTAAATTCTTGTAAAATCATAGATCACTCATGCTCAGTAGAGAAATTTGCATTTTGAAACTAAAAAATGTGCAAATTCCACTTTTCCTAGGCTACTCACATGTTTGACAGCTCCCAAAATTGCCAAAACTTCACAAGAGCATCTTTGCAACCCGGTGACACAGGGACAAAGCCCAACTTTCTTTATGATGAGCTACATTTTCAAAGAGGTGAGGCTGAACTTGAAGTTGATCCTGTCCTATGTGAAATCCATTAACACCCAATAAATAACAAAATACATGGAATTCTGGGCAAAGAAGTACTGAGAGCTGAGAGTGTTTTACTAGGGAACTTGTAGGATGACAGGAAGCTTGCCCTGTGATCACATGGTTTCCCAGGCATGTATCCCATCAGTGGACAAAGATAATGAGCCAGAAAAGCACAGTGGAATAGGAAAGGATGAACCAAAAAAACCCAACGAAACAACTAAAAAGCAAGTGGGAGACTGGTAGTCTAAACCATTACAAATATGGTACAAATGTGCATGCAAATGTTTTTTCCTTTATTAAATGAATATTTCATGGCAAATCAGTATATTCAGAAAATCCCCACTCAGCCCTATAAACAACATTCCAAGTCATGAGGACTTCTGAGTCTCTTCTCAGGTTATATCCGCTTAGTTGAGGCAACTACTGCTCTTGTGAGAAAGACTTAGGTACAAGAAGAATGAGAGTGGCTACGTAAAAGCAGCTGCATTCCACTACAATCATGCAAATTGGGTTGGAGGTGATGCCCTAAAAGCTCTGTCCCTATATAGACTATTCCACAGAATGACAATATGAACCCAAATACCAATTAAACTTTGAGTTTTCCAAAATACTGTGAGGTTTGGGGTTTTTTCCCCCCTCGAAAAAATACTCTAGATAACACTCTATTTGCCAGTCCAGATAGACACATGATCATCCACTGGAGTATAAAAATAAAGTGCATATTTTCAAAGTCATAAAATGGAAGCATTTGAAACAGAAGTAATTAAAAAAACAGCCAGTACACTTCCTGTGAGGAAATTAATTTCTCTTGGTTGTAGCGTTGACCCGTCCTTACTGTTCCCTGTAATAGGAAACAAATGCCAGATGCCCAATAGCGTTACTCTTTTTAGGTTGCCTTATCAGAAACAAATCTTTCCTCATGTGTTGTTTTGGTTTGGTTTTGTTAAGCAGGCTGATCTTTCTTCATAGCCAGAGCTGCCAGTTTCCAGTGGCTCTTTTGTAGCTGATATACAGGTAGGGCTTTGAGAGAGCTTCATCTCTAGCTTTGCATGGCAACAGCAAAAGGTTTCTGTCAGACCAAGTCATCCTAACCTCCTTTCATATTCCACTGAGAGGAAACAGAAACTTTCCAGACATAGTCCACCTGTCCTGCTATAGGATGCAATCACTGGATCTTCAGTGCTTAGAAAGGAGTCCAGATGACTAGTTCAGATGAAGAAACCTTCTGAGTGAAAAAAAAAAAAAAAAATGCTTCTAGGCACAAAAGCAAAGCTTTTAGAGAAGGAAGGGAAGGGAAAAGAAGCTTGAGGGACCAAATGAAGAAATAACAGGTTTCTTTGACTTATTAAGAAGAACTGCATTTCTTTCAAAGATTATAATAGTGAGGGATATATTTAGATTCCAACACTTCCAAAGGAAAAAAGAAAATAGCTATATCTGAATAAAAGTATTTAAGAGAATAGCTGTAATGTCTCGCAATGTTGATGTTAGCCATGCTATTAACAAGAGGAAGAATGAGTGACAACAACTCATTGCAATGACATGCTTTAATTTTGCAGGTCCCGACGTCCTTAAAATAATACTTGCAGAGTAAGTACTAGATGAACTCAGAACATTAACGGAAAATATAAATGAAATTATGTATTTCAGTAAGTGAAATATAAAGTATTATATGCTTTCCTGAGCATTTACTTTCTATATCTAATGAAAGTACTAATGCAGAATAATTGACATAATTTTCTGAATATAATAGGAAACTCTGAAATTGCTTCAAAAATGCATGAAAGGAGAGCTTAAACAATTGGTTTGACAAGTCAAAGAAAAAAGTTAAACTTACTTTTTTGGTATCTTTCTTTGGTACAATTTCACAATAATTACCTTTTCCATTTCAACCAATCTCTTGAAAATCACAATTCACTGAAATAATCTAATCTCAAGAAAGTACAATTTAATCTGAGCGCAGAAAAACTATTGGGCTTTATTATAAACTATTAAAAAATGTCTGTGATGTGAAGAATAAGATACCCCATTCTGTAAGAAGTAAATGGCAAGCCCAGGTGCACAAATTCTACAATGATTTGATAAGAATTTTTTTTTTCTATTTTTTGCTTTTGTGATATTCATTATTCAACAAAGATTTAAACAGACCACAAAAATATTTAGAATTATCAAAATTTCATAGCAATTTGTGACATAAATGTAAGTTGAAGATGTGGTTCAGATGCTTGGGTTTGATCTTAGCTGTCATCACTTGATTATTCAGGGTCATTAGTTAGTCAAATTACAGAAATGTCATTGAAGTCACCTTGTAAATGTCAAGCTGAATGTCAGCTGACAGCTGAAACAGTGACATTACTAAAATGCTTCATATGAGGGTACTTTTTGTCACAATAAAAATGTTTTCTGTCGACCGAGACAGCTGTGACTCAATGGTACCTAATTTTACATGTACAGAGGAACAGAAAGGATGATTTCTGCTTCAAAGACTGCAGGGGAAACAGCTGCATGAATTTCAGTACGAAAATGTAATGTAGAACCTCTTCAACATTTCAAGTTGTACACTCAAAAATAATTACTTCATATGTTACTTAATATTATGTTGGCGACTTCTGATGAAATGAGATCAATAGGTTCATATTCCAGCTTCAATGTTTCTTTTTATTTATTAGTACAACCCCTCATTTGGGGATGAGGGGGTTAATTCCACTTTATTTATCTAATTGTCCACCCATGCTGAAACAAGCAGAGCAGCAGCACTGCACTTGAGTGTAAAGTGGTGGAGTTTTTGATTCTGCTGGTGCACTGGAAGGTGTTTGGGCCATTGTGCAAATTACAGTATAATGCAATACCCTAGAAGAAATAATTATACCCAGCCGCTGTAAGCCAGGAATTGCACACAAAAAACTTGTGCCTTTTAATTTGGTCACGTATAATGTATGAAACGCAGTTCTTCCAAAGCTAATGGAACCAGAGGGAGCATTATGATTATGACTCGCTTAATATATTTTTCCATTTAAAAACTGGGGTCAAACCTGAGCAGAACAAAAGGATGAAGTATGATTTGAGTGCTGGAGACCAGTGTACAGGATAATATGAAGGGAAAAACACAGCATATGAATAACTCCTTGGTGCCATTGCGTGTCTGAGTATCTGCTCTGTGAGCTGCCCTTTCAATAGTAATATACACATTATGGGTATGACAGGTAATACTGAACCATTCCCTGGTGAGTTTTTTGCAAATCCTCAGAAAAGGTAAAGCATAATATTATTGTGTGTGTGATGGGGGTCTTTGTGGTTCTTTTTACCGTTTCTTTAAAATAACACATGAAAAAGCTACTTTGCTTTGTTGTGGCTAAGGCAGATTCTGATTAGTTATGTACCAGTATGGTTCTCAGGTTTTTTGAGCATCTTTTCTTTTGACATGTTTGTAGGCAGCACTGCAGCAGGTTCCTATATTGCAAAAAGTGGACGATATGTTCTCATTAATTTAGTAATCTTGGATTGTACCTTGTTTAGCCATTAGCACTTTTTTAATTTAATAGCCATATTTAGAGAATGAGGTGTCCAAGTTTGGCCCTTTGCAAGGGAGGGATGCATGAAAGCCTCTGAAAGTGCAAAAAAGGAGCAATGTTTCAAAGAGTACAAATGGGACACTGGAGGGAGTGTGCCATGTTGGCCTCTGAAACTAAAACTGCAGTATCATCGTGGCATGTGTGATATGTGTAAGATGCTGGTTGTCTCAAAAGGCTGAAATTTCCACACAGTAAGAACATTTTAATGACATGTGATTCTCAAAATCAGTGAAATTACAGTGAAATATTTCTATTCCTAAGACAAAAGAGGGGAAGGAACTGAACTCTGTCCTTCACAGGAGGGGCCGTCTCAAGCAAATTTCAGGTTATTCCATTTCATTCCCACAAATGATGAGTAATTAATCCACACCTTTAATCAGAGTAGAATCAAAGAGATCCAGAAATAGAGAAATACAGTGTTCCCAGAGAGACAATTTTCAGAAATTTGACTCTCTCTGCATATCCAGTGGCAACTAGAAAACCTCCAGGTTGAATATATGTTTATTGAAAGGGAACTTACTCCTAAAGATGACATTTTAGAGGCATAGAGCTGATGAGATGACTCCTGGCTATTGCGCCCAAAAGACACCTCAGAGCATGCCTAAGGCTGTAATTTCCTCATAAATTAACCTGCCTCCTCGCCTCTCTCTTCTGCTGGTGCTCATCTGATCCACGTACCAGTTCAGGGACTTAAACAAGCAGAAAAAATGTTGGTTTTGTGAACTGGATCTCCCCAGGTTGAGCCGTGCAGCAGTTCCATGTTTTAAAAAGCTAATCTGATATCTATCTATCAAATAATACTAGTAACTTCCTGCGGGATACTTCATAAAACTTTTCCTAAGATAACAACAGGTTCTATGTGTCCTGTCAGCTAAAACTTCAGGTTTGTCTCAGCAGAACAAGGCCCAGCAGGCAAAATGTGCATTCTGTAAAGGGCCCCCATGTTGGCAATTTCTCCCTATCAGGAAGCTAAGAATGCCCAAACCGGTTGGTTTTAGCCTTAGAGGTAGGAGGTGCATGGTTTCATTTCATTTCAGACATTAAGACTGCCTGTGGCTTGCTCCCTCTTTTCCCTTGCAGCAGCTTCCCATGCTGTGGTCATCTGCTGGGCACTGAGGTCTACTTGTATCTGACTACATTCAGTGCTGTCTTCCTTTTGCACTATGGCCTTTCCTTTAAACCATTAATTTTCATTTCTAAGGCAAAAATGTTTTTGTCAAGGCCAGTGTAAGTAAATCCCAAGGCATCCAGTGGATCTCATGCTTCTTTGGACAAAATTCTCCTCAAAGTAATTTTCCTGAGTGAAAATCAAAAGAACCAGTCCTCAGATGTTGTTATTCACATTTTCTTCTCTCTTGGTACCAGTTTGAACTATTTTTCAGGAAGTTCTTCTTATCTGAATGTTTTTCAAGTGCACTCTGGTGATAAAAAAATAATCAATGCCACTCTCCTACTCCTCAGATCCCTCCTTTGTGTATATTTGGTGTGGTGACTCTTTACAGAAGTGCTTAAAATATTGTTACAGCACTTCACTAGCACCTACAGCACAGAGCTCATCTTTCTGAAAGGACTTCTGGTATGTGACCAGAACTCTTTATTGAGGTCCAACCCAGTTAGTTCACCAGGTGAAGTCAATGAGGGCATCATTTGTGCTGCTGAACTTTTAGTGTCAGAGATAAGTGGGGGGAAAAAAAGAAAAGGAATCTTCAAATTGGAGGCTGAGTTCTGAGATTGATCATTACTTTTAAACTTGAGAAATTTCACCTGGAAATCATGGAAAATATGTCTGCATATTTATGGACAGTTTTCAGGATGAGATTTTTAAAACTAAAAATTTCCTATTTATGTGGAAATCTGTTATGAAACTCTCCAGGACAGTGGTGAAGCTTTTAGAAACTGGAGCTTTTAACTGGTTCAGCCATCAACCTTAGTCCCTTATGCTCATGTTATTTACATGGCTGTAAATTTTCACATGTATACTATGTTCTCATCTTATATTTAATGTATCTATCCACTTTGTTATACTATCACCTAAAATTGTTAAAGCGTTATTCTTGAAACAGTTGGGAATAATCTCAGGGCTGCAGTACAGAGAAATTACTTTCTCCTATAAATTTTATAGGAGGATCTTTTTGTCTTTTCAGTGTTTAATATTGCTATATTCATAGTTAGTACTTAGGTATTACTGCTATTATTACCTAACAAGTGGTGTGGTATTTGGAAGAATGTTAAGAATTTAGTATATAATTTCCTTGTGCACCAGATGGGATACCCTAACACTAGACAGCAAGTACTGTCAGGGAATAGTGCCTCAGGAATGGTGTCTGTGATACTCCTAAAACATAATGAAGAGCTGCCCAGTGTAGCTGGGGGGCGCATTTCCCTCTCCAGCTTGTTAGGGCTACCCACAGCACAGACCACTCCTTTACCATACACTGTGCTCTCTGACATGTAAATATTATTTTCTTCATAGAAACTAAACTAAGATGTAAAAGACTACATATATTTTTAAGTAGATTCTCATGCTAAAGATACTCTGACTTGGCTTTTTTCTACTTTTCCTTACAGACTGTTGGAAGCAACAATATTTCAGACTTCTTGGAATGCCTAGAGAAGTACATCTTTCTCCTTGAGAGATTTGCTTCAAGCTAATACTACTTTCTTTCAGTAAACATAATGAAGGACAGAGTCAAGAGGAACTTGGTAACTGATAGAAAACATCCCAGTAACGGATGAGAAACCAAATTAATAAAATACTGACATGATAAGTCATTCAAATTATTTTCTCTGAGCAAAAGGGGAACCATGACTTGCTATCTGACAGAGTAGGTCACTTTGATGGCATACTTCATGACACCTGCTGTCCCAGCAGAAGCTATTTGATTTCATTTATAAGGTAGTGCTTGTTTCAAAAGAACAGTCTCATTCACGGTTTTTCTGCTACTCTTTTTTTTTTTTAATATCTAATGCCTAAAACTCCAAAGTAATTAAGAGTGTGCAGAAAAGAAAACACCCACGGCTTCCTCCCTCCCTCTTCTTTATATTATGTACTTGTCTCTTCTCCATTTCCCTTTTTGTGAGATATTTCCTGCAACAGTCCTTCTTTCTGACTCGTATACTTGTGTGTGTTTGTCTGCCTAGTTGTGCAAGCAGTAAATGACAAGGAATAATATTTTCTTGTAATTTTTTAATGGTGCCTTAACGCTATTCTTCGGTAGTCCGATAATAATCCTGACATACAGATTCTGCCTGACAATTAGTGCAAATAGCTGACCTGTTTGCCATGTGTAAGAATGGCTAAAGTCTCTCCATGGCAATATTCAGCAAACAAAATAATAGAGAAAAGGACACAAAATATCAGGTTACATAGTTATATTTACTGGCGTTTTCTCTGCTTTGGAAGTAGAAGAGACCCCACAATCTGCCACAGATTTTCTTTCCTCCCCTTCTTTCCCAGCAGGACTTGAACAGAAACCATGTGGTCTGCAAACCACAAGCAGGAGGGAAATAATTTCTTGCCCTATCACAAATATGTAAGCATGTCTGATTTTTTTTTTAAATTTTCTTTGAGTAAATATTGGTTCTAAACTGACAAGTAGGACCTGCAACAGTGAGTGTAGTGTTGGTCCATGTCACTAATAGCCTGGCTCTTTACTGAGCACAGCCCTTAGGCCTTGGAGCCTTTCCCTTCCGTGAGGTGGTAGTTTAAGATATTTCTTAAACTTGAGCTCAAAACAAACTATAGTTATTCAAGGAACTGAAAAACACATTGGAACACATGAATATTTCATTTGTAGACAGTCTCTGTTTATCTTTGCTTCAAAGCAAAACAAAACCTCTCGGCTTCCTTGTTGTCTTCTTCAACATTGGATGGGAACTCTGCCTTAATTTCTGCAGGACTGTGCAGTACCTAACATCAAAGAGCTGATATTTATATCAATATGAAAACTCATGCAGTGCTGCACTTATTCTGCAGTTTGAAAGCTTCTCAGCTACCTTTTCTGCCTGCCTTGCAGAGGAAATGTGGCTGCAACTTCATCTGCAAGGGTAGAAACAGTGACAGCGCAAGAAAGCTGAGGGCCAAATTAGCTGTGGTTTGTGGTACGTCTTCTGCTTCCGTGTGCTGCCACTCGAATCCTACCCACCTCACACACGTAAACTCATATGCTTTAGAGAGAGCTTTGGCCATGTATCAGTTGTCCACCTGTGATTTCAGTTCTTCCACTCACCCCCACAATGAATCTATCACCAAGTCTAGCTAAATCACAGATAAGATGCTGTTCTGGTGCTAACCACTGTAGCTTCTTCGACTTAAAAGGAACTATACCTTTTTTGGGTATTTTTTGTGAGAAAAGGAACTAGCTGGTGTTAAGATATGTTCTGTGTTTAGAAAAGACATTCTTTTTTGCTTATAGTAACTCACATGGAGAATCCTATAGCCTGACTTCCTCTGTGTTATGTCAGTTGTCAATCCACTCTGCTGGATTGCTGGATTTTGCTCTCATGCAAAATAAATACAAACTGGCTTCTTGAACATTTAAAAAAAAAAGTAAGAAAAATAGTTAAAACCAACAGAGAGTATACTAATGTCCAATTTTAAGCTATTATAAATCACATGACTAGATTGTGTAATTTTAAAATAAAACGTGACATATTAGCTGACCATGTTTTTACTGCCACCAAAAAATGGGGCAAATCTACTTTCATTTACTTCTCAAAACAATATTTGCAATGTAAATTGTGCTGGTCCTAACCCTGGCCACATCTGCCTTCCCAAGTCCTTTACTACATATTGAATAATTTTTGTTAGTGATTTAACACAATGAATTTGGAGCAAACAAACTGCTCCAGCCTAGAATGGCTCTTTTTTCACCGTGGGACCGGCTTTCTCCAAAGCTGAATTCCTGGAAATTATCATGCTTCCCCAGTGAAACTGAGAGAACCTAAAACCTGTTAGCTCTGATAACAAACCTTGGACATGTGCTGCTGCAGACTGCTATGAAGTGTTCAATGACACTGCATAATGATCAAAGCTTTGTCTGCACACAGGTCACATTGTTTGAACAACACTGATAATCCCTACTAATTAATCTCATAGCAGGACTCTGGTTACTGACACCAAGCCACACACATGCAGACTGAGCAGTATCTTATCATCCCCATGATCGCCAGAAAGTGCCACCTCCACTGCTGAAGCTTACCAAGGAAGAAACCTTGGGCAAAGAGGCTACTCCTCAGCTCTAGAATAGCTGCAATTATTTTGTTTAGCCTGCTTTTTAAAACCAGAATAGGCAAAGCACTACGAGGGTAGAAGACGTCATATGTGTAAAAAGATGCTCTTATAGTGTAGCAGCTTCTCCTAAGAACAGGAAATAGCCTAGCTTTTCTGGCTGTTTAGTGCAAACAGCTGCAGCCACCTCTGCACCTGGATAACTATTTAAATTAAAAGTTACACTACTCATTCAATGACAAAACATTAGCAAAAAAAGAAATGTGTAGCTCAGGCCTCATGCACAGGTACATTCAGATGTCCAAGAGGGGAGAGTTTTAATGAACTGAACAAAACTGTTACCACAGCCTCACATAAAGCACTGGCGGCTTTGTGGGTTGCAGCTGCTTAATCTATCAAAGATGAGCTCAAGCACAGGTTTGCAGCACATGATGATACACTCAAAAACCTTCCTCTTTATTCAGGTCTACAGCATTTTATGTGGTTCCTTGGAGATGTCACTAGAATCTTTTGGTCATGTGCTTAAGCAGCTCTTACACCAATCTTCCCTCTGCTCTCCTGAGAAATCACTTTCATTTTCTCTGAAATCCTTTGAGTTTTATGTAGTAATTACAAAGTAGTTAGATGGACAAGTTTTTCTTCATATCATTTGCTTTCTCTCCTTTCTTATTCTGGTGTTTACCAAGCTGACTGTTTGCATTTATTATATATAAAATAATATTTTAATTATCTACTGGCATCAGGAAAGTTTTTTTAGTAGTTAAAAGCAATTTAAAGAATTTACTACATCTAATTTTCATTTTCTTACAACATATTTCTTGGAAAACATGTATTTGTCATGCTAATCAAGAGAATTTTAGACAAGATTGTTAGCTAGGTTAACAATTTCTCTAGCAGAACCACATCACAATATACTGAAACCTAAATATTGCAAGTTTTTTACATTAGAATACAAAATTTCCATAAAAGAGAGACCTGATAGATTCTAACCCTCTGATAGCACGTCAGGGTCCCATTGTAATTTTTTTAATTGATTGAAATAATAATATATTACAAAGAAACCATAAAGAAAAAAGAATGGAAACTCACATCCATCTTTGAGAAGGACAATAAGGAGAATTTGAAGCAGTACAGGCCACTCAGCTGAACTGCACTCCCTGGGAATGTTATGGACTGAATCTCCTACAAGCATTTTGAAGTGCAGAAAAGATAAGAAGGTGATTGGGAACAGCCAGCACAAGAATTATCAAGTGTAAATTATACCTGAACAACCTGATTGCCTTCTGTGATGAGATGACTTGCTCTGGGATGAAGGGAGGAGCACTGGATGTTGTGTACTTTGATTCTAGCAAGGCCTTTGATATGGTCTCCCATTATCTCCTCACAGCTAAATTAGTGGGGGTATGGACTCTGTAAGTGGGTGATAACATGGGTAGAAAATCAGCTGGATCACTGTGCTGGAAAAGTTGTAATCAACAATATGAAGCAGAACTGGTGACTGGTTGTACAAGTGGCGTGCCTCAAGGATTCATAGTGGGGATAGCACTGTTTAATACCTTTATTCGTGATCTGGGTGGTGGGATGGAGTGCACTTTCAGCAAGTTTGTGGTCAGTACGACATTGGAGGGAGTACTTGCAGTTCAAAGAATCTTTACAGACTGGAGAATGATCTGACAGAAACTCATGAAGTTCAAGTGCAAATGGGATCTGGGATCTTGTATCTAGGACAGAATAAATGAGTTGTATGTAGTGTAGCCACTGCATTTATTCCCTTCTCTCTATTCAGCACTTATGAGGCTGTATCTGGAGTGATGTGTCAAGTTTGGGGGTAGTCACAACAAGAAAAGCATTGACATACTGGAGCAAGTGCAGTGGACAGCCACCAGGATGGTTAAGGGGCTGCATGACGTGCTGTGAGGGAACGGACGAGAGATCTGGGTGTGTTTAGCAGTGAGAAATGAAGAAAAAGAAAGGTCTCACTGCTGCTTCCAAATAGCTAATGGGAGAGGAGCACAGAGAAGGCAGAATCAGGCTCTTTTCAGAGGAGCCCAGTGACAGGACAAGCAGCAGCAGACACAAGTTGGACCATTCAGAATTTCAATTAGATTTACTGAAAAGTGTTTCCCCTGTGCAGGTGGCCAGATACTGGAAAGGTTGCAGGATTTCCTTCTTTGGAGACTTCAGAACTGGAATGGATGAAGTCTGGATCAAACTGACCTGTGATAAAATGGTTGACCATGTGATTTCTTTAAATGTAGGTAGGGCTTTTGTTTAGATACTCTTGGATACATGTAAGACCTGATTTTCACAAGGTTTGCTAGAGCTTTAATATTCAGTTATTGTCAGTGCCCAGGGTCTTGGTATCTGATGTTTTCTGTCCAAAATGAACGCATTGAAAACAAAAGGATGTTTTTGTTAACCGAGCTTTGAAAACTTTGTATATTACTTCTTCCTGACTTTCAAGAGATTTCCCAGGGCTAACCTAGTTGGCATCA